GCTCACTTTGGAACGCAGCAAATCCTAATGAATGTTTAACATTTTTCTATGACATAATTAATAATATATTTTTGCAATGTTTACCACAAAAAAAGAGTAAAAGTTTTGGCAGAAAGTTTCCAAAATGGTTCTCTAAAGAGTTGGTTCACAAATTAAAACAAAAGGAACCCTTCTTTAGAATGTTCAAGAAGCATTTTAAGCGTAGAGATTACTACTGAAAAAAGTACTGTGCTCTGAGATCAGAAACAAACCAACTAATCAAAAAGTGTCGTTCGGAATACGTGGGGGGGGGATTGAGACTGGCATTCAATCCAATCCTACTGAGTTCTGGAAATTTATTAGGGACAAACGGCAAAACAGAATTTGGTTGGTACTATAAACTGTGCTCTGGGTCTCTTAATTTTCCCTCGATTTTTCCTCCACTTAACTTCAAAAGACACAAAACACACGTAAAAACACGAATCAAAACGCATCATCTTCCAAAACGCAGGGTACTTGACATAAGTTGACACAAAATTATTACCTATAATTTGGCAAGACTTTGACAAGCTTCAAAAATCTAAAGGCGAGTTCATACGCATCGGCGTCCATTTGTCGTTCATCGTTCCGTCAAACCTGTCAAATCTGTCATTTTTGAAATAAACCAATAAAACTGGTTTAAAACAACAAGAAACGACACAAGAAACGACGATTTATATTTAAACCCATCCATAATTAACTTAAAAAATATTAGAAACTTTTTTTTAGTAAAATAAATGGATTGGTATGGACGTCATCTGCTTTTTTTCTGTCATTGTCTGTCGAAATCTTACCTGAGAAAAAAAAACAGAGTATCTATCTGACAGCATTGCCTTTTTAAAACAAATAAAATATTTTTTCTCTTTCTATTTTGATTTATCTACGATTTCCATATGCCCGTCAAACTCTCCAAAATTTCGTTCTTTCCATGCCATTCGAATTTCGTCGGCCATTTAGACAAAAAGGCGCGCACGTAAAGCATTTCCTGAATAAAACATCGGTCGTCTAGCTAGTCCGCGTCGAACGCTGACTTGACACATTTCCCGGGACGATTTTCATCCTTTTTCCTGGCCGAAAGTCTCGCTTTTTCCGATTATTATATACACACACGCGTCTTTATTTAAATTGTCAGGACCTCCGTCAAAAAGCGGAGGCGCTGGCTACGCTAGGGGAATTTGAAGTAATTCGGAACTTTTCTCTTGCTTGACCAACAGAATATTCTCAGGAGATAGTACTCGAAAGATTACTTAAAAATCCGAATGTATTCCCACTAAAAGTAAAATGCCAGTGATTAGTATACCGGGTGTTTTTCAAAAGCGGCTCACTTCTATAACTTAATTTTTTCTGATAAAAAAACGAAATTGGGTATATGACTTTAATCGAGATTGATGATTTTACAACTTTTGATTTTTCAACGATATTCTATCATATTATTCTATCATAGAAAATGACATTCTGAATAGAATGGTATATCATATGTCAATAATTAACGATTTCAATTTAAAAAAATAAATTTCAATCTAGAGTGTCATGACTGTGTTAAAATTATCAATTTTTTCATCATCAAGGAACTTGGGAAAAATAGATATGATCGTCTAATGTTTTTCGTGTCTTAGCCAGTTAAATGATGCCAATTTAATCACAACTTTAATTTTTCAAATGGGACGAAGATGGCTCATTATCATATTTGTAAAAATATTTTTTTCACGAATAATTTGGTCCACATACTTGCTATTTCGAGTTAAATTGTCGTTACGAACACAGCCTTGGCACACTAGATTTAAAATTTAAATCTCTTGTGACAAGGCTGTGTTCGTAACTGTTTTTGAGAGAAAATGTCAAAAATTAACATAGGATATCGTTCTATTCAGAATGTCATTTTTTTATAAAATAAAGTAAAAAATTACAAGGGTACCTTTTAAAAATCAAAAGCTGTAGTCATTTTCGGTGAAACAAGAGATGATCGAATATAACTGAATACGTCAATCAATGCTGATTTATGTCATATACTAGCATACCAAATCTCGTTTTTCTGACTGAAAAAATAAAAAAATTATAGGGGTGAGTCACATTTCAAAAATACTCGAGAAACGGAAACAAAATTTTTCAGTAATTTTCGACCACTATACATATTTTTCTAATCCAGAAAAAAAAACTTTTAGCAATTCAAACGACATTATTTTCTTCCCCTTTGCAAGGAATCAAAAAATATCGAAATTTAACAAATACTGATAACAGTAACTCTTTTTTACAGCCACGTGTATTTAACCATAATATTTCTCCAAAAAAAATTCTATATGGGTATTTCGCCACTGCAAAATAATCTACAAAATAAAATAGTTATTTTTTGTAAACACTGCTGCGTTAATCCAACGGATAATGGATACAAATGAACAAATTTGCCTAACGGACAAAAAATGCTTATCGTTTCAGAAAGTTTATCTCTTTCCATCGTTGGAAGCGAAAAAAAATACAAAAAATAAAGAAGAAAACTATTTAAAATAGTTTAGTTTTTTTTAAACAGATACGTCTACAAAAACCGTTGAAGTTCTGTTAAAATGAAACAATTACTTACTATAACAGAACGTCAACGGTTTTTAAAGAACCCTGTACAATATATTCCATAATTTTTTGAATTTACTAATAAATGAAACACTAAATATTAAGCAATAAAAAACAATAGACATAAAATTCAATTGTGTGACATGTGTGTCTACCTGGCATACGAGAGTACAGGATTCGATAATCAGCCTGTACGCTCGCCTAAAATTTTTTAATAAATTTATAGAAGACAATAAGCAAATCAACTAGGGTATATCTGCCTAGTACATAACCGGAAATGGAAAATAATACCGTTCATATTTGACAATAAACTGAATTTAACACCTTCACAAATCGTTTATAAAAAATTCACAGATTTTGCAACATGCGCAACCATCATAGGCGTATTGAAAATACCAGACACACACCAGACACAAGTTGGCGGTTGTCGAAGAAAAAAACCTTTTTTTTACACACCCCTTAATTTTAATGAACTTATTCGATACTTTACGGTCACCCTTATAATGTTTACTACTGAACTGTGATATTTATTTCTTGGTTACAGAAACCATGCAATGTAAGGTCGTGGCGGTAAGCAGCAAAAATAAATTACATTAATAAAAATTAATGTAAAAAATAAAATTTGGTCACAAAAAGTTTTTATTATTTTTCTGAAGTAATAACCATAAATATAAAATCTTGACACTTAGTGATGTTGGTTTCATTAGGTTGTTTCTTGCATTGGACTTAATAATATACAGGGTGTCCCAGAAATGAGTGCAGATATTTTAACTGGTAGTATAGTTCAACCCCAGAAACACGCCTATGAGGTTTTTTTTGCGAAAAAAAAATGTTGAAAATTTTATATTTTTCTTGACATTTTCCGGAAAATGTTGAAAAACTTTGAGTGCCACTGTTTACTCCCAGGGAAATTCCTTTTACCGGGCATAGAGAGTGTCGGAGAGAATGCAACGTTGCCACCTCCTACCATACCCACATTCTGCATGTTTATCTATAAATTCAATTATTTTAAGTTGCTACAGAAAAAATACGAAAATTCATTTATTCATATTAGTGTAGATTGCTCTACTAATTCTAGAGAAACGCGCAATATTTTAAATACTTTTTACAGTGGAGTAAACTGAAAAAATAAATCTTAACAATTATAGCTTCTTTTTTGCCATATTAGGAAATATTTTCAATCGTTTCAATAAACAATTATAACATTTAATGTTTAGTTAGAGCTTACCCTTTTAATGAAAGTGTTTTTATCCAGCACACATATACGCAAACACATACACACCAAATATCTATTAAACTGAACATCACAAACCTATCACATGCCTATCACTTTTAAAATATTATTTAAAATTTTTCACATGATAATAATCAAACACTAAACTCATAAATACAATAAAAAATGTTAAAAAACTTGCTTTAATAACTACTACTAATACTTATATCCGGCGGCTGATGGTAGACAGTCCGGGGTTTTCTTCGACATTTCTTCAAAACCGACGCAACCCCGACAACGATTTCGAAAACACTAAAGGAATTACAAATTACAAATTTTTATTTCGGAATTTTTTGACTTAGCGTCCTCTACTGGACTGATGTATTACTATTATGGGTCAACGTTTTGGTGGTTGTCTAAAGATAGATAAATCAATTTTCTAAATGTTTAATGTATGGAGTAGGGATATCCCAAAAATAAAATAAAAGTACAAGAAAGGGTATACCCAAGAAAGAATTAAGGTAAAATCAAAGAGTATTCTACGTTATCTAAAATATAAAAATATGGGAAGCCCCGACAAAAATCTGACACCTGATATCAAAGTGATAAACAAACATCGGCGCATGCGGCAGCGAGCACTTACACTTAATTTTTCAGTTCATGCTAGATGGCCTTTTACTAGGGATGCACTGCAAACAAATATTCCAGCAAAACTAAAGTGTTTTTTCTTATTCTAAATTCTAACAAATAAATAAACCTGTAAAACTGTATAAATAAAATCGGTCTTCGATTTAAAAAAAAAGATCGATTATACCAAAAAATCGTTTGATAAAAATCACGTCGATTTGATAATAATCGATTCGAATCGTACATCCCTAGTATGGTGTGTAGTTTAAGGTTATGTTTAAGGTTAATCGTGGGTTATTAAACTCGCACAAAAACAAAACAGAAAACAACAAAAAACAATGCAAACAATGCCAAATAAACCTGTAAAAAAGTACTTTTATTATTCAAAATGAAATATCATATAATTCAGTTGGTATACGAATATTTTTTGATTTATTTATAATGTTTGGTGTCAAAAATATGTGAGAAATGAGGTAAACAGTTTAAATGTCTTAATAAATTCGTTTTTAATTTATTAACCTTTCAGGTATCTACCTAATGGTAGGAAGAAATTAATTATGTAATGGTAGGAAAAATAATTTCACTTTAATTATGTATTAGAAAATCAGTAATCTTAAATTAGGATGCATCAATGGAGAAGAAGGCAATTGTAATCACAATACAATAATAGATCTACAAATACCAAGCAATACATTAAATCAAAAATCTCAGTAACACTGTTATTATGTACTCCCTGTGGTCTTATTAAGTATAAAGTTTTGTTTTACATGAAAATAATTATCCCATTTAATTATGCATTAAATTTTAGTGTCAGCTTATTGATAGCTCGATTACCAGCCAAATAGTTTCGATGTTTTCTATACTATGAAGAAAATTTGATCTGATTAGATTAATTCAGATGTAAATTTATGTTATACGGTAAGATATTTTTAAACAAACCAAGAAAGTTCTCTTCAGACAAGTTCTGGTCTGAAATTGCAAATATTAACGAAAAAAGTTATACATGTAGTTTTCTATTCATAAATGATATTATTGATTTTATTCTAGGTGAATGTATCGAGTCATATATTATGCAGAATATATTGAGAAAATGGTAAACTAACTAAAAGTGCTAACAAAATTTCTTAGGAAGTTATCGATATACCTAATTATTAGAAGCTGTAACAAATGTTCAAAGAGTCAGAGTATACTTTATTAGAAGTGTGTTAGATAGAATTATACACTTTAAAGAAAATATCTTTTATTATTGCAGGTAATGCATATTGTGTAATGCATATAATATGTGAAATCTATTATTACATACAAAGATTGAAAATTATTTAAACAGCTACCTGTATGTTGTCTCACAATCTCATTTAGTGAATGGGTTATTAAAAATTGAACATATTTACACACAGAATATTGTGGATATGGATATCTGGAAAGCATGTTATAACCATTTTTATTTTTAGGATTTATGAAATGATTACATAAATATACTAACAACAAATTGCAATGCATCTGTATATTAGAGACAAAGATGAAAGAGAGTAACAAGAATATATGTATTCAAAAGAAAAATATCAAGACCATTTGTAGTAATTAAAATTAAAGAATAAAATACATAAAATGTACCATATGATCGAAAAAAAAACGGCGTCCAGTTGGCTGGGAAATGACGATCAATGACATTTCCTATATAAATTTACATATAAAATGACAGCGACCTTCATTTCATAGCCATCGTTGACGCCGTTTTTTCTCGATCATACGGTAGTTTATGTGTGAACAAATTCTCATTTCATATAAAAATTGGAGCTCTATCTAGAGTATATTTGAATATAAATGTTTTTATGTATTGGAAGGGGGACTGTAGTTTTCAAATATAATAAAGAAAATAGACTAAAAAAACATGTGTGTAAGTTCTTTTTTAAACTATTCTGTAGTTACGTAAATGTGTTTCAAATAGGTTGCTTTTCACAATAAAGTCAATACACAGTAATTATGCTTTACTTTTTCAAAACACACTCTTGTTTTTTATTATCAGAGAGTTATTAATATTAGAAAATTTAGTTACATGAATATAATAGGAGTAAATATTATGTTTCATGTTTCAAATAATTAGAATATGATATGAGTCATAATAGCTTAAATATGATTGCTAATAAAATACCTAGTTTATACACATTTAGATATATCTCTTTAAATATAAATTAGTATTGCCACCATGCGATTAATGGGAAATACAATATGGTCGTGAAAAAAAAACGGCGTCAGCGATGGCTATGATATAAAGATCGCTGTCAATTTATGTGTAAAATTTTATGGAGAATGTCACCGACCGTTATTTTCAAGCCATTCTGGAAGCCGTTTTTTTTACCATACGGTATTTCTAGGTATGGAATTATGTCTCTAATATGTAGTTAGGTAATTTTTTCCATTTGCCTATTGTTAATTATAACGTCGTCAAACTATAAAATTTGCTATATTTTTTACTTAAATTTTTTTAGTAATATCAGAACATGTTTTGAATAGTTTAATTAGTAATAAAGCTACTAATATGTTCAGTTATTTTTTTTCTATAAAAGCTTTTGATAAAAAAATAAGTATACCTGCTAAGACGTTAAATTGCCTGAGGGTACGATCGATGCCATTTACCATCCACTTTTACACAATAAAATGCCATCGATCGTAATTTCAAAAGCAGAAAACTTGCCGCCGTTTTTTCCAATGAAATGGGCGGTGGGGAGAAAATTACAGATTCCTGTATTATATTAACGACATTATTAATCGCATGTACACAAAGCATGTACACTATTAGAAATCGATCTAATTTCTAATATTATCGAGCTTTTAAAATTCGAGAAAGTGATCGGAGATTGTGTTTAAAGTGTTGTGAAATGTTCGTTAGTGCATATTTTTGTGTCGGTAATCGGTATCGGTATAGGCAAATCGCGATGGAGTATACAAATCCGAAGAAGGTGGATATGCTAAGAGCATAGGTACTTTCTGGCAGGGGAAAGCGCTGTAGAAGCTCGGAGACTTATTCCGAAGAGTATCCGAATAGATAAATCCCTAATGCTCGAACCTTTGTAAGTATGGTTCAGCATTTGAAGGATTCGGGAAAAGCAACGAAGAATTGCTACAAAACGTTAAAAATTCCATGCTCAGAAGAAGGAGAGCATGTATTGGAAATGGAGGTCGTCATGTTGAACAATTATTGTAATAGCATGCAGTCAAGAAGCAAGGGTATACCGGGTGGTGCATCATCGTTGGAAATATAGGATATCCCATGCAAATTTTGAACTGTCGAGATATTGGATCCCCTTGTGCAAATTTGTAATGTATCTTTAAAAACCATTTACGATTTAGCTCTAAAATTAATAGGGGAGCCAATATTTCCACAGTTGAAAATTTGCATAGTGTTGTTAAGAATTGTAGTGAAGTGATGTTATTAAGTGTAGTGTTATGTGCAGTTTTAAGAGTGGTAAAATGGAAAAAAAGAAAGCTCTGCAGTTGTATCTCTCTGCTATAGGGATATCTTTTTTTATTGTTTGGTAAGTTTTTTTTCTTTTAGTTTATTTTGTGTAATGTGAAAAGTAGGGCTACTGGCGATCACCCACTTAAAAAAAGTAACGCACCTCTGCAGAACCTCTTGGATGGTGTGGGATTTTGCAAGTACTTTTTAAGTCTTTCTAGTCGATGTGGCAACAGCGGGCGGCGAACAAGCTGAGATCCGCGAGATCTCTCCCCCGCGCCGGGGGATCCGCGAGATTCCCCGGCGGCTCTCAAAATGTCGCAATTTTTTTTTTAAACTTTCAAAGTTAAATAACTCGGTTATTTTCAATCTATTTTAAAAATGGTAAAGAGAAAATATGTTTCTTTTGGCCAGATCTACCACCCCTTAAAATATCTGCACTCATTTCTGGGACACCCTGTATATAAATCTGAAACAAAATTTCTGATTTTAACGGTAGGTACCTATAATTTTTTAATATTAATTCTGAAAAATAAGAAAGTAAACGTAAATTAAGTTTTCTAGCTTTTTTTTTTCATCTTCTGTAGTATTTAAGATTTTTTTTAACGAAGATTCAGTTAATGAACGATGAACCGTTTCGCTTATCCACCATTTTTTAAAAGGTACCACAGACCACTTGATTCGAGTCATCACGTGAACTATTGGATTTTATATTTATATATTATATTTGCATTTTATATCCGATTCAACTTATGACTTCCGATCTGATTACTCCTACACTGATATAATGTGTATTACGACTTATGCTAGGTTAATTAAGGAAATTTGCGACCCATTTTGAATTAAGTTATACTGCAAAGACTAGCATAGCCTATGATTTGTCGTTGTCAATTATAATTTAAAAGTAAAAATACGTAAAAATATTATTTTTATAAAGCCACAAAGGAGAACAACAAATTGATAATGATTAAATAGACCATCCAAGAGATAATGAAATTAAAAAAAAATTAGTTTTAACTGTCATAATTTACTAGGAAAAAGCAGTTCTAGCATAATTCAATAGGTTCAAAATTTACGATAAGTTATGAGATCGTTGGGATACGAGAAGTGCTTAGACATTTTCATTTTCAAAAAGTCTTGTATTTCGAAAATGAATTTTACTTAGAAGTGCAAGTAAATTAGTGGATATACCTAAATAAGCCAAATAGGTATTTTTTTTCAAGTAATTATGTTTATAAAATAGGCGAGTATTGTTTTAACAAATACTTATACGTATATTACGTCAAAGTGCAGAGGCAACATTATTTTTGATGTCGACTGTAAAATAATGTGAAAATTACGGGAGATATAAAAAATGATATACAAATACATAAAACATGATAGAAAGTTTAGCAAATATTATATTACAATCAAAAATAACATACATGCATACATATAAATTTAAAATGTGGTAAAATACAAATATGAGGTATGGGTGCAAAATATGACATGTGCATTGGTGGCTTACACAGTGGATAAAATCAAAAATATTCATCATCAATTAAAAAATGCAATAAAGAAGTTAGCGCCTTTTTAACTTATATTAATAACAACTAAAGTATACTAAAATCAATAAATTTTACAACTAGACAATTCCATAAGTTCCGAGAAAAAAGAATATTATCATATATATCGATTTAAAGTCTAAAGCACTTCGCTATTAAACTCTTAAGAAAATCAAGAAATCAAATTTAATTAACTAACCCAATCCCGTAAGGACGCAACTGAAATAAAAATTACAGAACTGTTTTTATATGAAAAAATACATCTTGATACATGGAAGACGTGTACTAAATTTTATAAAGATATTTAAAATAGTATAGTGTTATTATAAAAAAAAACTGATTTTCCTGAAAACTTTATCGCCCTGTATAAAAATGGGAGGCAACATTACTTTTGATACTGTTAAATAATATGATAATTAAGAAATATATAAAAAAATTGTGTACAAATACATTAAACAGAGAATACAAGTATAATCCAGCCGTCGAACAGAGAATACAAAATTATATACATACATATAAAATTAAGCGTACGTCTGTCCGTTCTGTAGCTACGGGGAATCCGTGAGAGGGGAAACGATATTCTCTCGATGTTTTTCGTAAAAAATAGACGACGCGTCCCATCAATAAAAATTCAACAAATTTGCAAGTAGCCAATAAAATGAGTGGGCGGAGCGATTTGCGGTGACGCACTCGTCAAATCGACGTATAAAATATATTGCTGTTTATTTAAATGTTTTTTGTCCGCATTCCTTTCATAGACACAGATCCAGCAGATGTACTGTACCATAATAAGGATAATACCTTATTGTTTACGAATACAGTGTGAGCTTACAAGACTCACAGTTACGAACAAAATTAAATGAAATATTCATGAAATATAACACACACCCTATTAGCTTCACGGCTTATACAATCGAATAAATCACATAATATTTCTCTCACCTACATACTTGACTTAAAACTCAAAAAGTACTCACCAATATCTTAAACCTAACAGGTTTTAATCAATTTTCAACACTTTTAACACTTCGAAGCGTATTTTAACATTATGGATCATTTTTTTTACGACCTCTACCTCATTTCGGCTTTTGAACGACCTTGCCCTATTCCATATACCTAT